TATCAAATATGTCTTTGTAGGATATGCTTTTAATAGCAAAGCCTATAGGTTATTAAACTTTGAATCGGATGTTGTAATAGAATCAAGGGACCTGGAATTCTTCTAGAATGTATTAGTAGCAAGAAAATATCAAAATAATGAAGTTATTCCGAATTCTAGAGAGCTACAAGAAGAGACATCTACTAGAAATGTTGAAAGTGAACATCGAAGAAGTAAGAAATCAGAAAAGATAAGGGTCTAGGATCTGATGAGATAGATTCCCAATTTATTTCCTTTTATTTAGTAGAAGGAGATAGGAAAGATGTTGTAAGAATAGTACATTTTATTCTTCAAGTGGAAAGTGATTCTAAAACTTATAAAGAAGCACTGTCACCTAGAGATTGTATATTCTGGAAAGAGGCAATTAATAATGAAATGGATTCTATTATTTGAAACAATACTTGGGAAATTGTCGATCTACCAAAAAGTTCTAAAGTTATTGGTTGCAATTGTGTATTTAGAAAGAAATACAATTCAGATGAACACTTAATACCTATAAAGCTAGATTATTAGCTAAGGGGTATCATCAAAATGAAAGAATATATTACTTTGACACATATGCACCTGTGGCTAGGATAACCTCGATAAGGATCTTGTTTGCACTAGCATCTATCTATGATTTACATGTTCATCAAATGGATGTCAAGACGACATTCCTAAATGAAGATCTCAAAGAGGAGGTCTGTATAAAACAACCAAAAGGGTTTATTTTTTCAGAAAATAAACGTAAAGTATTCAAATTAATCAAATCCTTATATGGATTAAAACATGCCTCTAAAAAGTGGCATGATAAATTTAACTCTAAAATAATGTTAAATGGTTTTAATTACAATTTGATAGATAGATGCCTTTACACTAAAGTAAATGATAGCGTAACTACTATGATCATAAAATGATCAAAGATGAGATCTATGATCATGAAATGGTAATATCAGAGGATCCACAATAGAGATATGGTCAGACGGATAGAAGGAAAGCTTTGATGCCAAGTCAGAGTGCCCCAAGCCTCCACGATCATGACACAACTACTAATAAATCGAGTTAAATCTTGTGAACCAATGGATATCACATGATGGATGGTTGAATCGGTATTCGAGTGAGGTGAGGGCCTCGTCCGTAGTGAGCTACTCTAGGTACCACCAGGTGTATGACCATGATACCGCCAAACTCATGGGTATTAAATTAGCAATGGAGACATCATAGCAGTGGTCCCTAACATAAGACAATTAGAGAGAGGGTCATTGCCACGCGATTTATGCAACGTGATTTTTAAATCGCAAGTGTATGGTGTCAAGTTTTGTAATATAGTAAAGAAGTTAGAATGTCGAACCCACAAGGATTGATATTCGAATCAATTGAGTACTATAATTATTTTAGCTTTCCCTTTATTTAAACGTATTTTTATGCTAAATTAAAATTAAATAGGATGAACGATGCAAGTAAACGAGGGCAAATTATGAAATTTCTTATCAAATTACGAATGCTTAGGGAATGATTTCACCGTACATTCGACAATATTATTTAACCGTATAACTATTTCTATCAATTTTTCCAAAATTTATAGGCAGGAACACTAAAGTGATTCTATTTCCCTCTCTCGAGTGCCAAATAAAAGCTATTTTTATATATTAATTCCAATATCTCTATTTCGAATTAAAAATATAAAAATTATCAAGCACGTGGTAATTAATTAAACAAGCCTCAAAGATTCGGACTTTCTCTCGAAACCTACGAAATCTAGGTTATGTTGTCTTAGATCACGCCTAAATTTGCCTCTTTCGATCGCCAAAATTTAGAACATCAAATTAGTCAATTAGTGGCCAGTTAATTGAAAGCATTGCGCACAAACAACATAAATAGATAAAAAGGAAAGATCAATTGAAATAATTATAACGGAATCCAAACATGTCTCAAGTAGGCTATATCATCCCTAAAATAATTGTTTAGTTCATAATTGAGAAAATTGACATGAATAAATTAATAAGAAAGAACATAGAGAAGAAAAGGAATAGAAAAACTCGTTTTTGCCGCTCGATTTATTCTTCCATTGTTGCCAAATTCTCTCAATTAACTTCCTCTTCTTTAATTGTATTGACCAGCCGTGGGTTTTGTCTCCAGATTTTTGCAATTGGCCGGCTAAACTCTTCTTTCGGAATAGAAAAACTCGTTTTTGCCGCTCGATTTCTTCTTCCATTGTTGCCAAATTCTCTCAATTAACTTCCTCTTCTTTAATTGTATTGGCCAGCCGTGGGTTTGTCTCCAGATTTTTGCAATTGGCTAGCTAAACTCCTCTTTCCAGTCACGTGTTCTTGCCGGCTGCTTCCAGTTTTCCTTGCTCGTTTCCCCCCTCTTAATTAGGTCTTTTAGGTAGTATTTATAGTCTCCTCAAGTGTTGGACGATTTTGGGTTGGAATGGGCCGAGAAAGAAATCCAAAAATATCAAAATACGTTCCCTGCATAGGCAGTGCCACGGCACTGCCCTTACTGTCAAATTCAGCTTCATGGGCGCCCGGTTCGGGTGGAAAATTCCTTCTGCGCGTCATTTAGTATTTTTAGCATAACTTTCTCATCCGATGTCCAATTAAGGTGATTCAAAGCTCGTTAGAAAGATAACTCAAAGGGGTACAAATTTTCTTCAGATATTATTCTCCAATTCGATCGTTTTCTACGTCAAAAATGAGTCTCAATATGAGGCTAAAATTTCGGAGCACAACTTTTCGGTTGGAAATTGATTTGTGATCATAATTTGACTAAAATTTGATCCCTTTAACATCTTTTTTTCATCCAATTGACTCCTAGCATGCTCGGATCTTCATTGCGAGATTCAACACAACTTTTCAATATTTGCGCTTTAGTCCTCGAACTTTGGATCTCTTAGATCTCTTACAATTTAGCAATTTTCTCCAATTTCGTCAACTTTTGCTTATTTCTTTCAAGTTCATCAACCTACATCACAACATCAAAACACACAATAAAAAGTTCTAAAACACTCTCAAGAGTAACAAAATAACAACTTGGTAGCATTAATATTATGAATGTAGAGCACACATCAGTCATAATGACCTACTCTCAATGAATATGCCCTTCTCAACTTCAAAATTAATAACCATGCAAAAATTTGACCCTTCTAAGACATGGGCAAAGCCCAATTAATTCAGTTGTCAAGGATAATACTTGAGATAAAAACCCATTTTTGGAGGTCTTTATATGGGTAGACACTCTATGAATGCTAGCAAAATTTTTGCTCAAAAGGCCAAGGATTCTTGATTACTAGCTACTTAGTACAAGGATAGAAGCCAATGAAAAATAAAATATTCAAAAATATATGCTTCGTGGATAAGTACAGGAAAGGTGTCCCACTATGATGCCTTAATAATTCGAACCAACATAGCAAATACTGGAATGAGGACGGTATTGGTCAAAATAAAAACTCGATCAATGTTATCTCAAGTCTACTTGAACCAAATAGAGGTAGACCATCTGTTGACCCCAATTTTGAACCAACTATATGGATTTTCTAGAGAAGATATCATGCAGAGTGGAAAGATAACATTATCTGCCATCATAGGGATCGTGCCCAAGACTGTTCCAATATTTCTGAATTACATGTCAGCTACAATATAGTTCTTGAGAGGCCAATGATGAAAGTAGGGCTGCGCAAAACTCTTGAACTGAAATGAGCCGAATGATTCTTCTTAAATAAAATACCTAAATGGGTATTTGAATCGAGAACTAATCCACTCGATTTGATTCTCGCTTATAGATTAATAACCGAAAAATAGAATAAAAATCGAATCTCCCTAATTTTTTTAATTTATTTATTTTAATAAACAAAATAATTTTATTCTTTCTAAATAAATTTGCTAACTAGTTAATTTAGCCCAAATCAAAAAATACGATTTTTCCTATTTCTAATTTTCAATCCAAGCACAACTTAATCAAATTGACACAAGTTTTACCCAAATATGTTATTCTATCGTAATGTCGTTTATATCATTTTGGGAAAATCAAATTGAAGCTCGAGAGCACCTCTCTTAATTATTGTAAGCTCGTTATCTTTTTCTTTATGTGATTTTAATAATCAAATCTATGAATAACTCAGCAAAGAGGGATGCAAAATACATAAGATAGTACTACGTTATTTTATAAGAGCTAAGATTGAATATGTCATTGCTTGAATTAATGTAGTTTTAAATATTAAAAAAAATTGATTATAGTATAGAACCTGATAATCGATTGGAACCGAAATCGAACGGTTTCATAATTTAATTTGGACCCGACTCTTACACTTACTAAATACCCGAAAATTTCAGGTCCTGTTTGATTCTTGAATCATACCAGACCATGCCCAGCCTTAGATGAAAGATTTGAAAGTCATTATCTCTATAGTGAACATAGACATGAAGTTCTCTACTGATGTTGTAGTGTCAATTGTGAAAGGGGATCAAAGAGGGTCCTGTGAATATTAGCTAAATTATATTCGCGAATCCATTCCTTGGCATGAAGGAAATGGTATCATGATGGTAGACATCAAAATGGGTAAAGCAGTGATGGCTGTGGCACTTATAGTCGATGCAGAGATAGTGAATATAGAGTAAAATATCATGAATGACCCTGATCGCTGAGCCATCGAGTCAAAATTGCAAGCCTCTTTGGTCGAGAAGATCATAAATTTACATGTTAGCTTAGATAGCACTAAAGTACTCCAAGTCAAGAATGACTTGAATGAGGAAATGAGAAAGAAATTGGAAAAGTTTCTGAAAAGGGACTTAGATTTTTTGCATGAAGGTAGAAAGATAATGTAGGGAGGAAAATTCTATATGTACATAACCTTTGCCAGAATTTTGTATAGAATGCTGATCTGGCGATAATTTGAATTCAAAAAAATGTCACTTGGTCAAAATGTCATCTGACACTTTTCTAGCAATTATTAATTTTAAAAACATATTCACTCACACACACTGCACACAAGACTTGTCTCTCTCTCCTCTCCATCTCTCTCTAATAATTCAAAACTCTCTGACTAACCGATTAAGATGTCTTCCAGATCACCGGTATAGATGCCCAACGAACAAATCTAGGAGAACAGGGAAGACGACAGCATCACAAATTCGGCCAACGAAGTTTTTGCTCTTTGTCCTGCACTCGATATAGTCTGCGCGATGATGTCCTTCAAATTGTCGGCAAAGATTGCGAACGAACAAATCTAGGAGAACGGGAAAGACAACGGCATTCGGTCGACATAGTTTCATAATTTGCTTCAAAACCTTCAGGTTAAGAACTTCAAATCTGTATTCCATTTTTATTTTGATTTTGATATTTAGGGTTTAGGGCAATATAGTGATCTGAATGTAGATCTGTTGAAATATTAAGAACCCGATGTTTTTATATCTGAGAAATTGGATTTTTCTGTATGCCCAATTCTCATTCTAGAAATTGAGGGATTTATTTCAACGTTGTACATGCACAATCTGCATATGTGAAGTTCGATTTACAGTTAAATTGATGGGGTTGTTGATGGTGAAATGCATGCGTTGAGAAAGATACCGTGTATTTTTTTCCCATTTCATTACAGTTCAGCTTGTAGAGTGGAAAAATTGCAATGTTATTCATCCTGTCAATTTATGATGAACTAGTAGTTTTTTGTAAATGAATCGATATTGTTGATGGCTAGGAAGAACAGAGGAATTTGTCATTCTTGCCGGGGGCAAGACACATGATGCCGGAATGCCCCAAAAAGAAGAGATGCCTAAACTGTGGAGATGGGTTCGTTAGATGGTTGGAGGTAGAAAAAAATTCCAAGAATCAAGGGAAGTTGTTCCATTCCTGGACTCACGACTGTGGGTTCTTCAAGTTTTGTAACGTTTCACCCGATGAAGAGTATCCATTGCAAGGTGAATCAAGTGGCACAACTAAAGGAAGTGAATCGGTCCATGAGTTGTCCCGTTTATTGAAAGTATGCACAAAAATAACTGAGGAGCGAGATGTAGATATTTCACTTAACATAACCATGCGCAAGGAAAAATGTGTTTCGGATGATTTAATCTGAAGTCTATGTAATTGGATGATTTCAACTTCTTTAGCTTTAAGTTTGTTTTACGAGTATTTGGATGATTTTGACTTCGTTGGCTTTAAGTTTGATTTACTTGTATTTGGATGATTTTGAATTCAACATCTAATTGCCGCTTATTGATCCCATATCTATTGGCTTTGAATTGGTTAGTGAAAGTTGTTGCCTCTTGCGTATATTTGAATAAAGCAAAGTTGTTGTGTACTTGTGAGTTGGCTCTTGTTAATGTTAATCATTTTTCATGCATATGCTCGTCTGCTACCTAAACATCAAGGTAGCCCAAGAATTCTTTCTCTTAAATAATATACGAACACCGTGTTTTTTTATTTTATTTGTGGGCTTAATTTCTATTCAAACAAGCATGTTTATAATTAATTTCTTGAAGTCCCTTTATCATATCGAGAATGAATCAAGTACTTAGAAAAGTAACGTTATCAAACTACTAAATATTGACAGATTCTTGTAAAACAAGCTTAAATTTGCAAAAACACAACACAATATTTGTTGACTTTCCCAGATTAAGATTACAAATATAATTCAAAAACTACAAACAACGATTACTGCAATGCTTTTATAGCCAACAGCCACATTGAGAAAATTTTATAATACAAAAAACCATTTGCATCAAGGTAATATAATTGATTGAGATCTCTTCAATCAAAACCCACATTCTTGAAAACATTTCCAGTGACAGCCAAAAAATCTACATTACAAGTAATTATCATAAGCCAATTGTATAACAACAAGAATGCAACTGCTCAAACAAGAAGCTAATAGCTCAGAGAAAATAACTTACTCATATCAAAAGATTTCCGACCACTTGATTCTTTCTCAATCATCAAAGCAAACTGCAAAATAAGAAAGAAAATTACTAAGACTTTCTAACCATGTGCTAGCAATGGAAACCTAAAAAAATGGAACCCGTTTCTTGATTCCTTGACTTTCAATTCAAATTTTCCACCAGAAAAATTCAAGTTCTCATCTTTTACCTGAAATTCAAGAACTTTAGAAATTTCTTCCTCGAAAAAGCATCGGCTATCACTTTGTCAATTTCTTGAAGTTCCTTTATCATATTGAAAATGAATCAAGTAATTAGAAGTTCGAATATAAACAAGTCAATAATCAGACATGATGTAAACTTTCTCTTCGGGAAAAAATAAATAAAATAAAATAGTAGGATTCAAAGCAGTAAACATTGCACAAATCTTGAGAATAGAGGATAAGTGATTCAATAGAAAATACAACAATTTGCAGTGATATGTAACAAGTCAAGCCAAACATAATTAATTCACAACTGCAAACACTAAAGGTTGCAATATAACATAAACACTGGGTATTCAACTTATGAATTACACCCTTGAACCAAAATCCCCTACGCTTTCCTGCATGCCAAAATGTTGGGAAGGAAGGTTCCTACAAATGGAATTAGAAACATCATTTACAAACAAGTTAATTGGGAACTTAGCAATGTTTGTATGCATAAATCTGGTCCGAACAGTTACCTGGTCATTGGTTGGAGGTGATGTATCATCGTTTAGCTGTCTTTTCGATGTACTTGAGTTCGATGCCACCTACAAAACATGGGAAGAAACAGTATGATTCAATGTGTAGAACTACTGAACAAATGAGAAGAAAATAATAAAAGGCATGAAGTTTTTATACCTTACGATAACATCTTTTTGTCTTTGAATTACTTTCTAGATGTCCCTTTCAACAAAGTTCTTTTGGAATTCCCTTGCTCTTCGTATATTTCGGGTCAAAGATGATTCCGCTACCACTCTTTCCTAATTCATCAAAGCTTTGGGAGCTCATCATTGTAGGATTCAACGTCGATACCTCTACTATTTGGAATTCAATCTACTCCATAACTCTTTCGGATCAAGATTGGTCATGTGCTACCAAGTCCGCTAACTTTGTAAATGCACTGCACAATTCCTCATATCTAACCTTGTCCGGAGTACTAATCCAACCGTCGTAGTTGATCAGAAACCTTGTGTATGGTCTGTTGACATCTTTCCTCCATCTACGTAATATGTACTTCTCGGGAACTAATTTCACCTGATTCCGGATCAAAACTGCAATCACATGCTTGCAAACTATTCCTCTGAACTCAAATAAGTGACAACTGCACTTGAAATCACACTCATCCTTACGCAGCCCCAGTTTAAAAGTACATGTCTTCATACAGTCATTCAAAATAATGTCTTCACGTACATCATTTATAGTATGCATGTACGAATCATGAGCGCATAGTACTTCGCAATATACCTTTCTGGTGAACTGCTCCTGGAATTCCTTGAACTTTGCGATTGTGTAAACCGATTGGAATTTTTTCTCCATTTCGCACCTTGTCGCACATGGGACTATTTTTGAAAATGATCTAAAGTCGTCTTAAAACTCTTTCTCAACTTTACATCGCAACATACGCTCATACTGCTTTAGGGATGTTTTCGAATGAACATACCCATCGAAAAATGCGTTAAAACCCTCACTCCGCTGTGTGGTTGACATACCCGTCCAAAATGAAGATTTCAAATAACATGGCACCCATTGACTTCTTTCATTGTACAGACCCGCTAACCAAGCATGCTTGTGTAAATCATAATCTTTGAGCATCTTGTTCCAACCTTGCTCAAATTCCTCACAATTGTGGACGTCATACACCAAACAATGCAAAACATGAAGAATAGAAGCTTTATGTCTATGCCCACTAAATTTTACAGATAACTTTTTCATTATATGCCACAAATACCATTTATGTTTTGTGTTCGAAAACATGATTTCAATTGCATTTTGCATAACACGGTCTTGATCTGTAACAATTCCATGTAGGGCTTGATCATGCATACATTGAAGCCACGTCTTGAATAGCCATACGAAAGTCCTTGTATCCTCTTTGAGAGCAAACCACATCCTAGAAGATTTGATTGTCCATGATGGTTTAACCCAGCAAATGGAGCAAACGGCATTTCGTACTTATTAGTTAAGTACATGGTGTCAAATGTGATTACATCACCAAATTCCTTACACGCTTGCCCACACCTATTATCTGCCCAAAATATGTTCCGCAGTCAAGCTTCCTCATCCAAGTCTATACTAAAATAGAAGCTAGGACTAGTTGCTTGCATCTTGGAAAAATATGCTTGTATTGCAACTGCGTCTCCTTTACCAAGTTTCAAACGTCGGACTTTGTCAATGAAATTTCTACAATCTTTCTCAACGCATGCAATCTTGTCATATCCACCACTTCAACTATGGCAGAGTTAAAACTCTTGTGCAATGGTATTCTAGCAATGTCGTTAATTTCAAGCTGCATTTTCACGTGTGCACTAATATGGCGATTACGTCGATATAGCCTTGATTTGGATGGGCTTGTTCTGTGATTATGTTCTAAGTGGACAGTGTTAATACGCCATCCCCCAGTAAGTTCAGAACATGCTGTCAATCTTGCTTTACACCAAGTTTGCATGGTTGGCTGAGGCTTCAAAACTATAGTTGTACCACTTGTTCGACGGCCTTCCTGACTACATGTAAAGGTTACATAACAAACAACTCCGTCTTCACCCTTCTTCGAATTCCTTTTTCGCACAGGAAAGCCAATTTGGTAAGTATAGTGCTTATAAAATTCAAAAACCTCATTCTCATATTTAAATTTCATTCCAACAGTGGGTTCAATAATTTTCTTTTCTTCACCTATGCCACTATCATTCAGATTGTCATCTTCGGATGAAGGAATTTGCACATAACCTACATTGACGAGAAGCAGGTAATTAATAGTTGTGTTCACACAAAATCATTCAAATATAGATGATTGTAATTGGGCAAGGCAAAAGTTGGGTCCATTAACAACTAACTGTTTTTCAGTAAAAAAATTATTTCTACTGCACTAAGAAATGATTTTTTCCTCTTACACTTCAGCTTAAAAATTGGGACTTTCACAACATTTTTCTGGATAAGAGCAATAATAGTTCAGTTGACAGCCCCCTCCCGGGTATGAGTATTTATCTTATTCAAGGAAGACATCCCATACATAGTTGAGCTTCCAGCCCCACTCCCAGGTAAAGTAGATTTCTAGTTAATAATATGAGAACCATTACATGCTGGTAGTATATTTCAAGGTTAGTAATAAATATTACCCATGCTGTCGTCGAGGTTGAGGTTGTCGGCCTGGAAGTCGTCGGCTTCAATTTCATCTCTGATCGTAGAATATGGAGATAATAGCCTCCTGTCGTCGCCAATGTCAAAGATGCCTGCGTCGCTGTCGTCGTCCAATGGGTTCAAGCATGACTTCATTTTTACTGTAGACGGCTAAGTTTTTGGTCATCTTCGATTTCGGAGTTGGAAGGTAAAGGAAATGGATTTGGGGATATGGATTTCGGGGGGAAATTTAGGCACCACTCCTTTTTCTTTCTTTCTGTTTTTTTTTTTTTTTTTTGGCACTGTTCCTGTTTTTATTTCCTTCCTTTTAGCCGAGATTTTGACAATTCAAAACTTTGCCACGTTAGCAAGTTGTAAAGAATTCGATAGACAAGGGAGTACTTGTAGCATTCTCCATGTAGGGCTTGACCTGATGGTAACGTGCAGTTCCTAGAAAATTGATCCTAAATTTTGTCCCTTACAAGCAAAAGATAAGATCAACCTAGAGAGGTATGCAGCCTTAAAAGAAGATGTTAACAAGTTCATATCAAATCGATTTAATCTAGAAGCACATTATTCGAGTTGAGTGGCAAATCTAGTCCTCGTTTGGAAGCTCAACAAGAAGTGGCAAATATGCATTGACTTCTAGGTTCTAACCAAGGTCTGCTCGATTTGGGGAATCCGATGGAGTCCAATCAAGATGACCTTGGTTCGAATATCATGGCCTAGATACGATGCTTGTCACGTTAAAGGACAAATCTCATGTCGAATGTAGATGAAAATAAAGAATCAACACTGGAGTTACTTTTTTTAACAATGCTAACTTTTTAAGATGGACTTACGAATCTTAATATAGTGTTAGCGCTCATTAAATTCAAACGAGTAATTTGATCTAATTAAGACCCAAAACAAGTACACCGATTCCTCTTTAGAGCTCATTACATACAAGGACTTGAATTATTCCTCTTAATAAAATTGATATTTTAAGATGAAACCTCAAGTTTTAGTATGATTTTAGAGTACATTAGTCTCAAACGAGCAATTTGATATAACTACAATTCAAAATGAACTTGAATTTCAAGATTGTTCTCAAACGAGCTACCTATTATAGGGGACATATTATGAGATAAATAGATGAAATAATTAACTAACATATTATTAGAATCCAAAGACCTCTTCAACCAAGATCACGAGTGGAAGACTTTGTCAAGCGTTGACTGCCTCGAACATCTCCCTAAGTCTTCGAATTGGAGTCTTTACTTTTGATGTGATGAATCAGCTTTCTCCCTGAATCATTGACACACTAAAGCTACCCCTTTGTCTTAACATAGTCATTTCATATTCCTTTCTCTAGGAACCCAACAATTATGGTTATTCAGAATATTTCATTCATAAACTAGTAAAATGGATCTTAATTAGATTAGATCAATCCAATTCTAAGAATTCTTCGAGAAAATTTGAGTGTATTTGTGTAGGACCCTTTATTTATTTATTTATTATTTTTTTTTTTTGATAACCCAGGAACCCGCAGCTGCTACTGACGACCAGTGCGCACTAGGTAAACCTGGGGGCTGGCACGAGACCCGCAACCACACCAGCCGGTTAAATCTTCTCCAAGGAGAAGGCGGATGTCTCAAGCGTGGGTTGAACCCTCGTCGAAACCAAACCCAGTTTCCCAGGCCATGCCCTTTGCCAACTCGGCCACACGCTCTTGACGTGTAGGACCCTTTCTTTATTTCAATATCAGATGGTATGTACACTTGTATGACTTGGAGCTCTCAATCTCAAAGGGAACATAAATTCTTCGACTTCACTGATTGAGGAAGAATGAAAATTCACTCGTATAATATTGATTTTTTTTAATCTCATTAAATATGGGAGAATATTACCACGATCATCATAGCGAGAGGAATAATAGAGGAAACCTCCATCGATCTTGTTTTTTAGTGTCACCCATAATATAGAAATTAAATACCAATAAAGAGATTTTACTACCTGAATTACATGTGTTGTTGAATCACAAGACAAAAGAGCACTTAACGTAAATATGAACGCTTCGAAATATTCATCTTCATTGAATATGCACAAGTGTCTTTTACATTTCTAGAAGTTTCTTGGAAAATGAAAGGGAAAAAAAAAAGGTAAAAGAAAAAGTGTGAAATAATGGGGGTAAACATAAACGAGTTGGATCTTGGTAGGGCCCAGTATAAAAGATAACAATAAAGCCAATTAACCACAATTAAAAACAGGGAAGGAGGCGACATATTGAGGTGGTGGCAAATGGTTGGGCGTTTTATATTTTAATTTTTCAAAGTGTTCAATCGCGAGACGACACATGTCATCCTTGTTTTTCACAGTAGATGTATAGCACAATTGAAACGATAAATGAGGGCTGACTCATCATATTACTACAACAGAAATGCTAATTAGACAGGGTTTTATACAAGGATTCACTTCGGCCCTTGATTAAATTCTAATCAAGGGCTGTGGTGAATCCCTGTATAAATCCCTATTTCAGAAGCATCTCTCATTGCTACAATGAAGGTCCCCACACGTGGAAAGCAAGAGCAGTGGATCTCCATTTTCATTGTACGGACTTCGACTAAAGTAGTAAGAAGAGATAATATTTAATGGTTTAGTTCTCCTTAATATAATTAGTAGCAAATGCCTAGATGTTTGCATTTATATTATTATTGTGAAAATTCGGGAATCCAAATTATTTTAAGCAATTTTTAATTTTTTTCCCCATCAAAGATGCTTACCCACGTTAGATTTGATCTCATGCAAACCATTCTAGTTTATTTTATTTTTTGCATTATACATTTGTAAAAAAAATACAAGTTTCTATTTTGTTGAAGATGTTCATGTAATTTATTTAACAAATAATTTTCCACATTTGACATAAATTAATCAAAAACAAATAATTATGGAATTTTGAAAAAATGTGTATAGTAATTTATCACCTGTTAACATTTCAAACAATAATACTTTAATTTCTAATTAATCCGCAAATTAAATTTTTAATAGCTAAAAATTAGATTTAATAGAAGTCTATGAAATATGTGTTTGAAAAGTTAATAAAAGTTATGGATATCGTAAAACATGAAATTAAAATTAATTTTTAACTTTGACTTTAATTTTTACTCAACATTTTAAACTACACCAAACGGGGACTTTATGTTTGACTTTTAGTAAGATAAATGTAGATTATCCTAAATTTTAAGAAATTAGAAAGTACGTATATTTCATACCTTTAGTAATATGTTCCATATGTCGAATAAAATTGAGGGCATGTTCGGTAGTGATTTTAAGAATCAATTTTTTTATTGTTAAAGAGAAAAATGGATCCTATATATATGAATCCTATATATATGAATGAAGAAGTTAAAAATGACGGTTACTTTAGGAAAATAACGATCAAAAAATTAATTTTTTAGTATGAAAAATCAGAATCAAACGATGGCTGAATGTAACAATCAATGGTATTTTGTCTAACTTATTAACACACCATTAATCTTAAATACCATTTAAAAGTACTTTACAATTCTTTAGAGGCAACCACTACTTTTTGTTTGAATAGACAAATCAAATTTAAAGGATATGAAATGGGACACACCCATGTGTAAGCAACCTTTTTAATAATGTACCATCCCATAATATTCCATGCACTAAATATTAACTAAAAGGGTTCCCTTAAGATCTGGTCCTGGCCGGTGACACGTGTCAGTTCCTCAGACGTCAATTTCTTTAAATATGAATCTTAACCCTACAGCAGTTGCACCGGCCACTGCATAGATTTTGCTGGATAGCATGAAACAGAGAGAACCCTATATTATGTATCCAAAGCAAATTTAGAACACCTTTTTTAAGCTTTATCAAGTCTTCACTAGGAGAAACTTTTATTACACGCGCCACTTGCAACTTCAACACTAAGCAAAGGGGGAATTTTTTATTTTTTTTATTATTATTTAATTCATTTCTTTATATTCCATCAAAACTCGAAAGTATTCTACTTATTAATAGAGATTTTACAATAGGGATTATGGGTTCTTGAAATCTAACAAATCTTGAAATTATTCATACTTTTCCTGGCCTTATAATTAGTGTTTAGATTGAGTCTACTCAAGTTGAGGTCATTTCAAATCTTATTTCATAGGAGAAATTAATTGTAGTAACTATTTAAAGAAATCCGTTCTTTTTAAACAACGTTGAATTTTTATTTTTACATTTTTTAAGGTAAAGTCGGTTTAGGATCATGAGATTATTTTCTATTCTATAGGATGTGCTCAGGCACAATAATGTGAGCATAATAGAACTTGAAAAAATTGCTTAGGGACTAAGTTTTCGACTAGCCTCATTTTTACTAAGCCCCTGTTTGAGCTCTATTTTTTTATATTAGATTTGTATATAATAATTCTTTTTGAAGATGTGTGATTAAAAGTATAGAAATTTTTTGAATTTACGTGCAAAAGAATAGATGATTGAAAAGGAGTTTAAAAAAATGAATATTTAATGAATATGACTCAATCATAGGATAAAATTTTCCAAACACCCTTGTGCGATTTCTTCCCATCCCATCTCCTCCTCATCCATTCTTCATGCCTATTTTCATGTAGTGTTCAACAATTGTTCAGAAGTACTCCGGTAGCGGCTATGACAAAATAATAATAATAATAATAATAAAGAAAAAAGAAAAAAAAATAGAGATCGAATAGTGGAGGGATAATGAGGAAAGAAGAAAGGAAAAACTACAAGTTGAGGTGAGGAAAGAGGTGAAATCGGGGAATAATTGGAAATGAATATTAATAAACGTATATTGGACATTAACTATAAATAAACTTTTAGCAATGATGGTTGAACAGAGTTAAAAATAGGGGAAGTGTTGACAGATTGAGTTAACAGCATTTGATTGAATTTTCTTTTTTTAAAATTTTCAAACTATCTATTCATGGTTCAACATGTGTCCTTCTTGTCTTGAAGCCTGGTGTTGACCCTGTTCTTATAGCATTTCTCGTAAACTTTACATTGGGCAACTTTTAAATAGGAAAACCACATCTAAACTATTTAAGGTACTTTATGAATAATCGAGGGAGCAAATTAAAAATTTACGTGCTTACCATTATCATTCATAGCGAGTGGTGCTTCACTTTCCATGCAAAAAGGAAACTCTCGAAGTACGTGCAAACCCGAGGCCCTCGTCTCTTTATAAAAAACCCTACTTTCATTACTCACCACACAATAGTCTA